GCAAGTTTAATCAGAAAATAGTCGATTCTGGCCAGCGGTGTCTTGGGGTTTGTCACAGGAAATGTCCTTTCTATTAAGCAATCGCCCTTGTCTAGTGCAAGCCATTTCCTGCACATGAAGAACCAGGTCTTCCTAGTGGACGTGTTCTCAACTTTGGCTCTGCTTAAGAACCAGCTTGGAGATGCGCCCTTGTTATTGTGCCAGACCTTGAGGGAACAAATGTCTCCCAAGTCTTCCTTAGTAGTTAACAGAAAGCAGTCCGTGCTTCCTTTTTGGAACGATGGAAAGCGTGGATGCCATAAACAATGGACATCGCTCATGCCGTTCTGGCCGCTGAGCTGAAGAAAGACGTCAGCTGTGGTTCCAGCTCCCCAGCGACTGCCTGTGTATAAAGTGACCAAAAAGCTCACTTTGTCAAAGGGGTCATTGTCCGGCAGAACTACAATCTTGTTCTTGCCAACCCTGTCAGCTTTGTCCTTTCTCATGGCCCAGAGGGACAAGAGAAAGTAGACGGCAAAAATAAAGAGCACTGTTAAGAGAGTCACTGGGTTTTTATGGATGTCTGCTATCAGGATTTTCCCCAGATCTACTGTGTTGGGGGTAACTATTACTTTGGCTGCCAGGAACCTGATGTCAAATGTGGATGCGGTTGATGCAGCGTGGACTGACAGGCTTCTGCGACTCCGCTTCATATTGCAGACACAGTGAATCTTCTGCCAGTCAGTCATGGAGCCAAGCCTGCACGAGTCTTCTCTCCACAGGTTTAGAACCCCCTCCAGAAACAAGCACTGATCACTAAAAATGTATATGCTCACCAGTCTCTGGCTTTGATACCTTACGAAATAGGGTGTCATCAAGACAACGGAGATGTTCTGAGTGTCAGTTCCACTTCCTTGAGCTGTGGCTCTCAGCAGTGACTCTGGGAGACAGATTATATAGGGAGCCTTGATGTTACAATCAGTGGTGGCGGTCTCGGTTTTGCTTGCAACTGTTGGCATGTTGTGAGAAGCAGCAAACGAAGCTATGGGATGAGCATCAGTGATGTTGGGGCCTGTAAATACTAGCACCTTGAAAGTAACTTCTAATTTTGTGAGGATCTGGATATATATGCTGTTGGTGTTTCTGTTGACTTCTAAAGTAAATCCTCCAGTTGTGTAAGCTTCTGTTTTATCAGGTCCCATTGTTAACTGAAAAGTTGAAGATTCCTTATCCTTTCTAGCAATTGTAATTTCTGCTCCTTCAGGCACTATCCCTCTCTGATCCCCATTAGCCTTGGTCTCTGCCATTTTGAACCCGAAGACTGTTGTGATTTCTGTTGTGTAACCTAACCAGGGGAAGGGGTTCTCATCAAACTCAAAAAGGGCAGTGGAAATCACAGCATCATGGGGCAATTCAGAATAATTTCCCTTTTTCAGTGATGGATAAAAGCAGTTCCTGCAGGTGTTTGTTGTAGAAGAAGCATTTACACTGTTCAAGGTTTTATCTTTCTTCAGAGTGATGTTCCAGTGTTTTGTTTCTATTAGAGTATCCGTTTCTCCAGGGACTTTGCCCTGGAGAACTATGTCTGTTAAATTTTCCATGACGGAGAAGACTTGTTTAACTGCACCTACATTGACATTCCTACGTTGCAGAAGAGCAGCTCTCAGGATGTTGGACAAGCATGTTAGTATTCCACTACTCTGAATTTCTGCTTCCTCAGACCAATGCTTCTTGTTCCTCTGTATCTTCAGCAATCCTGTAATTTCTGTCAGTTTCCTAATGGCAAGGTCTTGTGACCTAAAGTTCAATTCACCAGGGTTGTCTGTGACTTGAGAAAGAGAAGCAACTACTTGGTTGATTTCTATTATGCTTTCAACTGAAATATTCAGGGCTATTTTAATCAGGCTTTCCCGAAACTGAGCGTTAGGGAGCTGGATGGTTGGTGTGGCTTTAATATAGTTTAAGACTGAGGCTGTCAGATAAGCCAAATAACCTGCGCTAAAATAATCTCCGGTCTGGAGATAAGATGTCATTGGTGCGCTAAAACCACTTACTGAGGCCAGCAGTTCATGAAACACAACAGCTACTGGTCGACTGTCAATTGGATTCTGCACACGGGCATATAAATTCACCTGGGTAAATGCCCCAAGGGAATCGTAGACTTGAATGTAAAGTGTCAAGGCGTACTTCTCAGACGGCACTCCAATAGGGAGAAATGATGGAGGAGTTTTAGGCTGATAACCAAAGTACATAATTATGCCGAATGTATTTTCCTCCACAGAAGTTATTTTGGTAGTTTTGTCAGAAGCTACTATTACTTTATATGTCAGAGGTAAATTGCTGTCAGAAAATCCACTGCATTGAACAACAAATTTTGTCAGAAAAGCAGTACCCCAGCGAGGGTTGATAATACACTTGCCAGACCTAGGGGGAATATTTATCTTAAATGCATACCTGTAGATGGATGACCTACCATCCCAGGTAGTTACTTTTAACAGAAGTATGTAGGATTGATGTGCAGTCTTTGTAAAAGTCAGAGCATGTATAGACAGGTAAGTCCCATATCTCCCTGTTGAGGTTCTGGAAGACCAGTCAAAGCTAATTTCCGTAGAGTTTTCTGAAAAAAGGGACCAGTAGTAGACTGGCTGGTTGTGTGTTCTACAGTTCAGGCATTTTCCAGATAAGGTAAATCTCTCTGTTGGAATGACACTGCTCCCGCAGTTTTCGAGGCATGTCACATCCAGAAGGAGCTGGGAGCCAGGCTGCACATTTACAGTTTGGTCGGCGTAACTCATCCTTGTATCCTTTTGAATCACTAGACGGAAGTAGTACATGGCATTTCCTGGGAGGGATTCTGGTGGCATTGCTTGAACTGGATCTGAGGATCTTAACCATTTCAGATCACTCTGGGCTGGATGGCATTTTTTTCCAGGGCTGATTTTCATGTTTTTGTAGTCTGATGCCTCTTTAGTACAGTACCAAGTAAATGTGATTCCCCCTAGTCCTTCCCATGTGTATGAATCAGGATCATAGGATGCAGAGCCATTGAGAACCCAGTTGTCATAAAAACCCACTGTGCGGAATCTGCCTCCTGCAATATTTGCCACCAGGCTGCTCCTCTCAATCAGAACGTAAATCTTATCTGAGTTCCTGACAACTTCTTTGGTAGCAGCCACGATTATCTCAAGAGTGAAATTAAACAAATACAGCCCATAATCTAAAGCAAATCTGGGAACTGTTAATACTATCTTTTCTATACCGTCAAATGAAGAAATATTCATTGGGTTTGTCCAGTCTGGAATAGTTGTTAAGTCCTGAAGAGGATAGACACGCCAGAAGGGTTTAATAATTCTGACAACTCTGCAATCTGCCATCACTTTGGCAGCGAGAATAAAATTTGCCGCCCTCTTCTGGCGCAAGATAGAGCTATGAATAGTAGGTCTCTCTATATACACGCTGTATATTTGACAGGTTTTTTCCTGGCAAGACACTGGTACTTCTATGGTTTTTGCAGCATAGTTGTTGACTCTGGCTCTTAAAAGAGCTGGTGTAGGTGCACTTCTGGTACAGTTCACTTTTGCCACAAACCCTGTATATTTCTCTGCATCAAAGGGTAAAGCAGAGCGACGGACAAAACGTGTGGCGTTTCTTACATGATCATTGTAGGTGTATGTGCTATTCTGGAGAAGGTTGTCTTTTTGAGTTCCAAAAATCTGTAGATGGAAGGTCCACTCACATTGTAGCATTGGATGTTGTGCAGGGATAAACCACACTAAATAAGTAAAGCTCTGCAGAAAAGGACTGCTGCTGCTGAAAACGTGGACTTCAAGGTCTCTTTCTGCAAGGGACCTAAACAAAGTCCTCTTCTGATTCACATAAAGGTACATGTTGAACTTGTACGAATGGAAGGCCACAAACTCTATGGAGAATAAATAGGAGAAGCACCTGTGTTGGTAGAACACAGTGTGTGTGTTAGGGCCGTCTGTGGAAATAGGGCTGTTGTTATCTTTGGTAGCGTAAAATGTTCCATGGTTGTACCTGAAAACATACATGCTACTGTTGGCTTTCCCTGGCTGAAGATTGACATGGGTGGGAGTTTCTCTGCCTGCAGTTAGAGTGAGAGTACCATTGAGCAGATGTATTTCTCCTCTCAATTCCTCAAACCTCCTTCCATCAACAGGAAAGTAAATGCTGGCCACCACCTCACCCAGGTTCTGAGGTGTGGGGACAGCACAGAAGTTGCTCTGTAGGGTAAAGGCACTGTAGGAACGGACCCAACTTCCTATACCCTGTGTGTCCACCAGTCTGTAGGCCACTGCTCGTGGGGTAAGGGGCTGAAGCCTCCAGGAGAGGCTGAGTGGCTGTTGAGAAACACTAAGGAGTTTGGATCTGATGCTGAGGACATGCAACAAGTCAGGCTCTACCTTGAGAGAGAGGCTGATGTTTATCTGAGGCATCTGCTGAATGCTGACTGAAGCAACATGGAGCCCAGGATGCCTGTAGCGCACAGTCAAGCGGTAGCTGTAGTAGGTGGCACAGGTCTGCTGCAACTCGGCTGTTGGGTAGATATCAAGTGGTGGCGTCTCTTGGTGCTCACTGCTGGGAAGGAGAAGGGCAGATGGGCTGCCTCCCTGGCTGCTGAAGCGGTACTGCCAGCTGACACTCTTGAGACGTGCACACCAGCCCAGCTCTACTGGCTGCCACACGAGGATCAGGTGTGTCCGGGGCCAAAGCACAAAGAGCCGCATGTCCTGTGCAGACATCTCGACGCTCACGTTGTGATGGAAGCACTCAGGTGCAACACATGAAGCAGATGAGCATTGCACTGTGAGAAGGCTGAAGCCCACGGGTGGAGGATCACTGCCCGTTGGGAGGCCTGTTTGCAGCTTGACCTGGCCTGACCAGCGCGAGGTGTTCTTCACCCAGGCCGAGTTCAGGTACCAGACGCAGTGGGGTGGGGATGGTGGCCACCCTGTTTTCCTCTCTACCTCTGGCCTTGCTGCCGGGGCGGGCTGGTAACGCAGGTTCATGGTGCTGCTCCGCAGGCATGAGACCCGGCGCTCATTGTCCTGCCCTTGAAAGACTTGTCCATGAGGGCCCCAGCAGCTCACCAGCAGGGGCGGTGGCTGGAGGCGGGGAGAGGAGACCGTCGAGCCTTGGGGCCTACAGCAGAGCAGCAGCAGGAGCAGGTGAAGTCAGGAAAGGGGAATGGATAAGT